CTATAGTACAAGAGTAGATAAAAGTAAAATATACAGGCAGCAGAAAACGATTCAAGGATTCCCAGACCTTGTGAATTGATAAATTACAAGAAAAATAGTAAACCGCGCCCAGTGCACATGTACAGAATGTTATATTGCACACAGTTGACCTCAAAAATGAGAAGAAAAGACAAAATAATAGTGCAGCACAGTATGTAAAGTGCATATGTGGTAGGTAATCTTGAATCACTTCCACTCACAATTTTTGAGCTCTGTTAGAGCTCTGCTATTTTGCACATGGACGGAATAATCCCTGTCCAAGGATGTATAGTGATGCAGTCGCCACAGATGCTTCGAATAAAGTGCAGTATGCAGGATAGATGTGGAAGTAAATACAGGAAAAAAACTCCAATGGTGAAGTAAGTACTGATGGAAAATCAAATGTATAAATAAGGTAATGTACTTATATTTACTAGAGCAGAACCTGCTCTAGTGTAAACATCGGGGGTGGTATAATCCCCACCTAAGGATATGATGGTACCAGAAAGCAGTAGATAAATAAAGGTGTGTGTGTGTGTGTGTGTATATGTATATATATATACTTTTCATTTTACCAAACAAAAAATGCTAAAACAGTATAAAATACTTATCGGAGTCCCACTTGATGCATTTTGCCTTTACAAGGCTTCTTCAGAAGTGTGTTTAAGTCCTTGCAAAGGTCTGGTTATATATGGTGGTCTTGATTGAAGATAGCTTCCTGTAACCATGCTGGAAAGTATACGTCATACCGGAAGTGACGCGGCGGTTAACCAGCATTGGTAGTCTCAGTGGACTTAATGCGTGTCAGTCTGGAACGCATACGTCACCAAAATGGCGTAGTTGCGTTCCAAACATAGTTGGTGTGGGTCCTTTCCACAGCAGGGGCTAGATTTGTTTATAGGGTATTCCTTTGGTCCCACCTCTTTAAGAAATGTCTTTATCTCTGTTCATCACGGAGGGGGCATGGCGTCACAGAGGTAGTTACGCAAGTTCTTCATATACAGTATATACCCAGGAAATGGCTCAACAGCCAAGTTGGAAGAGGGCAAAATGATGGAAATTAATATAAAAGGTGTATAAAGGTATACTTCTTTTATAGCGAAAATAGTTATATGGAGTTTAGATATCTCATGGGGGATAACTCCATAAACATTAGCCTAAGATATCAGGGACCATAAATGTGCTTGTAACTCATTTGTAGAGAAAGGGGATGGCTGAACAGCCATTTAAAAAAAAAAAAAAAGAAGGAATACTAATTATAGTTCCAATCCAGAGTTGAAAGACATAAATAAAAAGTAATAAATAATAACAAAAATTACAATAAAAACTGAGCATCAACTATTGTGAATATACATAATTATGTTAGCAGGTACATAGATTTCACTATAAAGAGAATGACTTGCAGTGCATATAATTGTTGGTACTTTGGCATTGTGTGCCACCCACTAAAAATAGTAATAGTATGGGGAGTAATATCAATAAATGGGAGATATTACTCCCCATTATAAGATATGTAAATTGCTCAGAAACTCCTATCCTTACAAAATAAGCAAATGATTTGAAAAAGAGATTTATACAAAAATGATATGAAGTTAAAGGGATAGAGTCCACTATAAACCAAACATTATTGCTGAACAGGAAATAACTCATACATAAAGAAAAAATTTAAAGAAATCAAAATTTCTCCCTGCCTATTGTGTTATATTACAACAACAAAAATAGACAACTCAGAAGTATTTTAAACAAGCACTGGCACTTACTAAAAGAAGATGAATTATTAAAAAACATAATTCTAGAAAGACCAGAAGTGGAGTTTAGAGGTACACCCAATCTAAAAATCCACCTAACAAAAAAATATATATAAGGACAAGCCCAAACAACTTTATGACGGAGAAAAGGGGTTTCTACAAATGCAACTGCTGTTTAGCCTGTACAAGAACTAACCCAACAGAGAAATTGAGAACTACATTTAAATCTAATAACAATGGAAAAATATACAATATTACATATACAGTCAGGTCCATAAATATTGGGACATCGACACAATTCTAATCTTTTTGGCGCTATACACCACCACAATGGATTTGAAATGAAATGAACAAGATGTGCTTTAACTGCAGACTTTTGGCTTTCATTTGAGTGTATTTACATCCAAATCAGGTGAACGGTGTAGGAATTAAAACAGTTTGTATATGTGCCTCCCACTTTTTAAGGTACCAAAAGTAATGGGACAATTGGCTGCTCAGCTGTTCCATGGCCAGGTGTGTGTTATTCCCTCATTATCCCATTTACAAGGAGCAGATACAAGGTCCAGAGTTCATTTCAAGTGTGCTATTTGCATTTGGAATCTGTTGCTGTCAACTCTCAATATGAGATCCAAAGAGCTGTCACTATCAGTGAAGCAAGCCATCATTAGACTGAAAAAACAAAACAAACCCATCAGAGAGATAGCAAAAACATTAGGTGTGGCCAAATCAACTGTTTGGAACATCCTTAAAAAGAAAGAATGCACCGGTGAGCTCAGCAACACCAAAAGACCCGGAAGACCACGGAAAACAACTGTGGTGGATGACCGAAGAATTCTTTCCCTGGTGAAGAAAACATCCTTCACAACAGTTGGCCAGATCAAGAACACTCTCCAGGAGGTAGGTGTATGTGTGTCAAAGTCAACAATCAAGAGAAGACTTCACCAGAGTGAATACAGAGGGTTCACCACAAGATGTAAACCATTGGTGAGCCTCAAAAACAGGAAGGCCAGATAAGAGTTTGCCAAACATCATCTAAAAAAGCCTTCACAGTTCTGGAACAACATCCTGTGGACAGATGAGACCAAGATCAACTTGTACCAGAGTGATGGGAAGAGAAGAGTATGGAGAAGGAAAGGAACTGCTCATGATCGAAAGCATACCACCTCATCAGTGAAGCATGGTGGTGGTAGTGTCATGGCGTGGGCATGTATGGCTGCCAATGGAACTGGTTCTCTTGTATTTATTGATGATGTGACTGCTGGCAAAAGCAGCAGGATGAATTCTGAAGTGTTTTGGGCAATATTATCTGCTCGTATTCAGCCAGATGCTTCAGAACTCATTGGACGGCGCTTCACAGTGCAGATGGACAATGACCTGAAGCATACTGCAAAAGCAACCAAAGAGTTTTTTAAGGGAAAGAAGTGGAATGTTATGCAATGGCCAAGTCAATCACCTGACCTGAATCCGATTGAGCATGCATTTCACTTGATGAAGACAAAACTGAAGGGAAAACGCCCCAATAACAAGCAGGAACTGAAGACAGTTGCAGTAGAGGCCTGGCAGAGCATCACCAGGGATGAAACCCAGCGTCTGGTGATGTCTATGCGTTCCAGACATCAGGCTGTAATTTATCTACTTGAAAAAGCCTTGCAAGGCAAAACGCGTTGTAGATTATTTTATATATTTTTGTACCAATAAACTATCTTTTTAATACCTTCTATACCTGGCATCCTGAATTCATCACTCCAAGCGAGAACCAAAGAATCCTAGGTGGGGATTATACCACCAGCGCCCCATTCATCGAGCAGTAAGTCTGCTCTTAAAAGTATACTCACTGAATGGTTATACAAGAAGCTCCACCTTATGTATGTATGTTTTTTCTGTATCTTGTAGAGGTGGTTTAGGGGATACCACTCAAGGTGTTTGAGCTTCACTTGATATCCTGTAGACTCCATATTGTGCACCTATTTATCAACCAGGCTGTAATTGACTGCAAAGGATTTGCAACCATGTATTAAAAATTGAAAGTTTGATTTATGACTGTTAATCTGTCCCGTTACTTTTGATCCATTAAAAAGTGTGAGGCACATATACAAACTGTTGTAATTCCTACACCGTTCACCTGATTCGGATGTAAATACCCTCAAATTAAAGGTGAAAGTCTGCAGTTAAAGCACATCTTGTTTGTTTCATTTCAAATCCATTGTGTTGGTGTATAGAGCCAAAAAGATTAGAATTGTGTCGATGTCCCAATATTTATGGACCTGACTGTATATGTAATATTGTATATTTTTCCATTGTTATTAGATTTAAATGTAGTTCTCAATTTCTCTGTTGGGTAAGTTCTTTTACAGGCTAAACAGCGGTTGCATTTGTAGAAACCCCTTTTCTCCGTCATAAAGTTGCTGACTTTGTTTGGGCTTGTCCTTATATATTTTTTTTTGTTAGGTGCATTTTTAGATTGGGTGCACCTCTAAACTCCACTTCTGCTCTTTCTGGAATTATGTTTTTTTAATAATTCATCTTCTTTTAGTAAGTGCCAGTGCTTGTTTAAAATACTTCTGAGGGGGCGGAGCCTAGCCACGAACCAAGCACGACGTGTGTTCCATGGGCTCCCGCGACCGATACCTTACAAACTGCATAACACACGAGCCAATAACTTACCCGACCCCAGAGCACAAACAAGCTTGTGCCCGACATACCGGTGATGCAGGGGATACCTCACAGGAACCTCTCAGACACTGGAAACTATACCTCGAGGCTCTGCGGCCTACCAGCGACCAGGCGGGGGAGAGGCGGCCGCTCTCCTACTACTTTGCCTGGCGGTGAGACGCTCATACAGGGTCCCCCCCCTATGGACCGATGGGGGTCATCCCGGCCCCTACTGGCTGGTGCAGCAAACACACGCTATACCCAAAAGACCAACATCTACCACATGGAGACTCTGACTAATGCACCGAAGATGACGGACAAGTTCCCTGAGCAGAGGCAAGTGCTGCACGGACAGGAGCTGTTACAGCCCAACTCCACAGTTGACATACTGCAACGCATAGACAGGGCATTTGAGAGATTTTGGCAGCAACTTGAAGTTAAAACGCTGCCCTCACAGCCCATGCCTCGGAGACAATGCATCGACGGGGACCCTGGAATCCTGACCTCCTAGTGGGGAAATCAACCCAGAACAAACATGAAAATAACCCACAATAGAGAAGGGCCACAACCGCTGCTGCTGCGATGCCCAGGCTACAGCAAAGGAAACCAGGTACCCGCATCAAGCGCAAGGCAACCAGAGCTCACCGCGGCACTAGGACGAAGATGACGCCAACCTCCTATTTGGCTCTGACCCACAGAACCCAGCATCAGATCCCCAAACAGGCCGAAAAGCGAATAGATGGCGCTCTGAGACACATACCACGTGCCACAATATGCAGATACTCTCCCGCGATCCCGAACAGGGGCAGGGACTGTAGATGCTACACCCCACTGCAGCCCAGTGGACATGTTACAGATCCAGAATATGTACAGCCACAGATGGGCATTGGTTAGACATGATTGCGGACCCTGACTCGGCCATAGGCCTCCTTACACGTTAGGCCATGCACGGCAGCACTAAAGATTAACTAGTCTAGTGTGATAGTTACATCACCCGGCTGAGCGGACACTCAGCACAATTTCCAATTTCCATGCTCCATAGCGTTATTTTGCCTCAGTTTGCTTTATCTACAAAACCCACATGGCATAGAGCTACAGTGAGCCGAAGCTGTAAAGCGGGGAGTCCCATAATCTCACTCCCATATGCATAAAATTAAAGATGAAGACGGTACAAGTCAGTGGTACAAAACCTACAGTGTTAACCCTAGCATGTTATACTATGTTTGTCTTAACCTTACCTAGCTCCCACCTAGCATATACCATGCTCCAAGCAATACCTTACGTTCCTATAAATTTGTAGTTACTCAGATCTTACATTTAGATCCAAAGTTCAGCCTGTTTTATTATACCTTAAAAAGTGCAGAATGCTCACATACCATGACACGATATTTTGATGTATGTATCTATTATGATTACAACTGCCATCATGGCATCATATGCATGTATGTCAATCGATGCACGATTAAAAAATAAATATTTTTTTTTTTAAAAAGCACTTACTAATACTCTAATATGTGCACAAAAGTGCAAAGTGCAATTTCAAATACATGCAAAGTTGTCCTTTTATATTTACACTGTTAGAACTTACAGGATGCCACCCTTTATCCGATCACTCAATAGAGTATCACAGTATGTGACCAAATGAGTTCATAAGATTAATACCTAAAAAAAATAATAAAAATAATATATATAGTAAAATACTTCTGAGTTGTCTATTTTTGTTGTTGTAATATAACACAATAGGCAGGGAGAAATTTTGATTTCTTTTAATTTTTTCTTTATGTATGAGTTATTTCCTGTTCAGCAATAATGTTTGGTTTATAGTGGACTCTATCCCTTTAACTTCATATCATTTTTGTATAAATCTCTTTTTCAAATCATTTGCTTATTTTGTAAGGATAGGAGTTTCTGAGCAATTTACATATCTTATAATGACATATCATAGTTACTTAAAGCAAAATAGCAAGGACTAGGCGTAATATTAATCAAAATAGATATTTGGGTTTTTTTTCTTAGTCATTGAACAGGTAACTTGGATATATTTTAGGTAAACCTGTTTTAGATATTTTTAAATTCATATAATGTAAAGTAAGTTAAAGGGACACTATAGTCACCTAAACAACTTTAGCTTAATGAAGCAATTTTAGTGTATAGAACATGCACCTGCAGCCTCACTGCTCAATCCTCTGCCATTTAGGAGTTAAATCCCTTTGTTTATTAACCCTAGCTCACCTCCCTGCATGTGACTTGCACAGCCTTCAATAAACACTTCCTGTAAAGAGAGCCCTATTTAGGCTTTCTTTATTGCAAGTTCTGTTTAATTAAGATTTTTTTATCCCCTGCTATGTTAATAGCTTGCTAGACCCTGCAAGAACCTCCTGTATGTGATTAAAGTTCAATTTAGAGATTGAGATACAATTATTTAAGGTAAATTACATCCGTTTGAAAGTGAAACCAGTTTTTATTTTTTCATGCAGGCTCTGTCAATCATAGCCAGGGGAGGTGTGGCTAGGGCTGCATAAACAGAAACAAAGTGATTTAACTCCTAAATGACAGTAAATTGAGCAGTGAAATTGCAGGGGAATGATCTATACACTAAAACTGCTTTATTTAGTAATTTAGGTGACTATAGTGTTCCTTTAATTTTGGGCACATTGCAAAGTCTAAATATTGGGAGAGCCTGAAAGTACTTAAAGGGGAACTGTCTCTTCTCTGGAATTTTAACCACTTAATGCAACAGGTTTTTTTTTTGTTTTTTTTTATGCTTCATTTTATTTTATATTAAAAATTTAGCAAATCACATCATAAACAAGTTAAGACAAGTAAAAACCCAGGCAAACATTTTCTACGAGTGTTTAATTTATTTTCTTCCTGGTGTGTTTTCTCTATGGCGACTGCCAGGTGCAAAGAGCATGGCTTATAACAATAATTGACAAGGAGCTAAGATTGGGGGCACACCTGGTCCGTCATGGCGGGGAAGCAGGTAACGCCGAATGACGGACCAGGTCCGTCATGCAGTGAAGTTAACCCCAGATCGCGGGGTTAACGCTTCTCTGGTCTGCCTCTGTATTAGAGGCAGACAGGAAGCACCAGATCGCGCTGCCACTGCAGCAGTGATCGCTCTGAAAGGCTGTCAGAGTAAGCACATGTGCTGCAGGAAATCACAATCCGCCTCCCTGCTCTTCCGCGGTCTGTGTGAAGTGCAGGGAGACAGATCAGCAATGATCTTCTCCCTGTTAAAAAAATAATAATAAAATAAAGTTAAAGTAAATTCCCCCCCTCCCCCCCTTTTCCCTGCTTTAATAAAATTAATCCTTTACCTGCCAATTGATCACTGACTACAGTGATCGATTGGCAGGGACTACATTTTACTGTGATCTGATTTTTTTTTTTTTTTTTTTTGATTTTTTTTTGATTTTTTTTTTAACCCCTGAAGGTCAACTTTTATTTTTTGTAACCCTCGGGGGTTAATTTAATTTTATTAATTAATTTAAATATATTAAAATGATATATTTAGCTAGCTGGGGTGAGTGGAATTTAGTGGGGAATTGGGGGATTTGGTGTTAGGCTAGCTAGGGGTTAACGTTAAAAAAAAAGCTTACTTTTTTTTAAGTAAAAAA